ATTCACGATCATTACGTGCCAAAATTTCAACTTTGTCTGGCGCTTAATTGAGGTGTAAAATACAAAGTTTTTGTGGCACTGGCGCCTAATTGAAGGTGGCGCTTAACTGAAGACAAATACAGTACTACAGTATGTATATCACATGTATGCATTTGGCGATCAGACACATTAATGATTACTCCTCCTCCTGCAGGTAAATGTCAGTGAACTTGGTCTTGTGACTCAGGGCGGTAAAGTTATATGGGGTAAGTAGAATTACTAATAATTCAAATACTGTAAAATACTTCATTAGTCCCCGCTGTCCGAAAACGGGGAGTTATGTTTTGACCTCCGTGCACCAAGCATTTCTGGATGGATTTTGTTCAAACTTGGTACATACATTAGACATTACGGGTTCCTGATGCACGTTATTTTATTTTTCAGATCGGATTTAGAATGGCCGACTAGTTGCCATTTTGTTTTAATGAATGGGCTTCTAGAGTCATAATTCTGACATGCTTTGACTGACTATGTTCAAATTTTATATATTCATTATACATGTATTCAAAATGGCTGTTTTAATTAATGCTGCTGTTCCAGAGCAATATCTCTCAATACTCCTTTGACGATCAGATACAAATGTCAATCATCATAATCATATTCCTGACATGTTTATATTCCAGCAATATAACTATAAACAAAACTATATCTTAAATTCAATAACTAACGGGGACTGTGCCATGCATGGCTTGTTTTAGCTGGAATTGCTTTTTGGGTGTTTTGTATTAAATTTATTTTCACTAATTTTGTGATCTGACATATCAATTTGATGCTGATGAAGTCATTCAGATTAGATTGAAACCAGGGTTCTCCCCAGAAAAAAATGCATAGCGCCAGGGGTAATTTGCATAATAATTTGCATATCATTTACATATCTTTCCTTCATTGATTAACAGAACTTATTTACACTTATGAATATTAGTGAGCTCAGTCACAGGGCAAATATTTTTTTTAATGGAATCAACACATTATGTTTCACAATTTAGAAGAGTTTGAAACATTCTCGAAATACAAATGCTACAGACTAAAAACAAACACAAATACATTATTGTTGCAATTTAATTGTTTTGTAAAACGTTGAAGGAAAGGCACTCAAAACGTTAAGCCAGATTTATGTTCACGAATCTCATAATTTTATTCACTCTAAAAACATTCTCCTTCAAAAAATCGATCACGTAATTAATTGACGTATTGTTGTAATTTATTATTCGTACCATCAACTTCTAAAACGTTTACAATTACAGTAATGAGCGAACAAATAAAGCTTCAAAACGATCATCAAAGTTACGATGTGACATAACTTACTTGGCCATGTTATACACCATTTCTAGCAATAATTCCTCAACAAATTTTACTTCTTTTTTTTTTTGATATGAAATGTAAGTAAAATCCGACTTATTTTTATCGGGAGCGATTATTTTTGATCACTTGATCGCTTCGGTAAAAAAATGCCGGTAGAACCCGAAGTTTTCCGAATGGTAGTGATCATAAAAATTACATTGCGGAAGTAAAGCGATGTCGTAGCACGATGTGTTGGCATCGATTTCAATTGAAAACTGCATGACAGCTTTCGAAAGAGGTGATTTGCAATTTTTAAAAGGTAAATTAGGTCTTGAAAGAAGAGTTTTTACATGATACGCAATGATAACAGTTCAAATGTATTTTACCAAATCACGCAATAAACACGTTTTTTTCTTGAGTAGCGTGAACTGATCGTGAACTCCGATTTGACCATGTTATATCGAGGTGGAATTGATTTTGAAATAATTTTAGCTTTCAATCTAAAGACTGTGTCTATCGCAGAAAGTATTTACTTACAAACAAAGAGGTGCTAATTCCACAAATTTGACTAGCCGCTACGTAACGTGCGACTAGGTCTATTGTTTATAAATTATAATCCACGACTGGCAGGATGCGTGTCGGTCGGTACGTAATTATACCAACAATCAGACAATAGTCCTCGTCCGAAACATTTCCTTGGTGGTCACTAATGTTGAGTGACGGTCGGGGCCGACCGGCGTGGCGAACAAAGCTTTTTCACATCTGATATTGGCATGTCAAATATGAAATCAAGCGCAGAGGTGGGAACACATAGCGCCGAGGTCCCAAGTGAAGCGCCGGGATTCACAGGTATAGCGCCGCGGACCTCGGCGCTAAAAAGCCCTGGGGAGAACCCTGTGAAACCATTAATAGAAGATGGATTTGTAAAAATTATGATTTAGTGCTTTTACACGAGAATTGAACATTGGGCAGTCATGTTGAATCAAATTACAAAAATAATGTTCATGTTGATGTATCTATTGATATACTGTCTTTAAATTTCGTACAAACAGAAATGTTCATTGCATTCATGGGAAAGTTGGCATGGATATCATGAAAAACAAAATGGCCACTTGTCATATTAGTTTGAATCACAGAAAAAATATGACATGCACCTATAACCCAATATGTATGATCACCATACCAACTTTAATCCAAATTGGCCGAGTCATCTCTGATAAACAGCTCCGGAGATGCAAAAATTACGATTTAGCACTTTTACATAAAAATTGGGCATTGACCGGCCATATAGAATCGAATCACAAAAATAATGTTGGTGCACATGTATCCCTTGGTATACTATCTTTGTACAAAATTTAAAGAGAAACATTCATTGCATTCAAGAGAAAGTAGCATGGGTACCATGAAAAACAAAATGGCTGCCAGTTGGCCATATTTGTTTGAATCACTGAAAAAGTATGACGTGCACCTATAACGAAATATCTATGATCCAAATCGGCCCAGTCATCTCCGAGAAACTGCTGCCGACACATTTTACATCCAAAATGGCTGCCAGTCGGCCATTTTTGCTCCGATCATAAAGTATCGTTTTCATGTAAAATTTGAATGAAATCCGTCAATGGGTTTCAGAGATATAGCTCGGAACGGACAGACGAAACAAACCCAAATTAATATCCCAGTTTTCTGACTTCGTCCAAACGGGGACTAAAAAGGTATATTCGCTGGATTTTATTTTACTGAATCATTCCTTCAGTGAAAATAAACTATTTTACATTAGTTGTTTGCTTCATTTTACCGTTGATCCTTGTGTTTTGTTCAGTATATTGAGCACTTGTCTTGATTATGCAGTCAAATAACAGTTGCGTTATTTTGTTTATTTCTAGGTAAATACGCACAAGTGATGAATAATCCAGAAAACGATGGGTGTATTAATGCTGTCCTTCTTGTATAACAAATTCACCAATAAGAGACTCGTTCAACAATGTACATTAAAAGCTTTAATGTATAAAACAATACACACAGCACCAACCACAGGAATAAAAATAATATTTATTTGTAAAATCTATTGTCAGTTGATTGAAATAAATACTTGTTATATTACATACTGTAAATGGTTTACAGTTTGATTCTCTCTTCATGCATGGGAATCTTGAAATAATTTCATTAGCACATTGAACCGCTCCTCAACCTGTTGACAAAAAAGACTTGTGTAAATTTACTGACCAAAACTTCTTGTCCTTATGGTAATAATATACCCAACAATACATTGTTGAACAGGAAAATTACAAATTCAAGATTAAAAAAAAAAAGACTCACCTGCACAGCACTCTTATTTCCAAGCTGTTGAGATATTGCTTCGAATAAATCTGGTGAAGCTTCATGCATTTGACATGCTTGCAAC